GTCTTATCTTTAGACTTCAAAGGTAGTTGTCTGAAATTAGTCAGTGTGGATAACCCCTTCAAGGCAAGATACCAGGGCTGTACAGGAAGACAGCATATTAAACTTATTCCTCCTAAGCCCACATTTACTGTGCTGAGCACTCACCCTTCCCTTCAAGAACATCTGCATAGAACAAAACTAAGCAAAAAACTTCAGATTTTTTTTTCAGCACATATCAAATTACCTATGGAATATAATTAATCTCATCTGTACGTCATACCTGCAGGGTGCCAGGATACCACATAGTCCAGAGGCATTTACATATAGTGAAGAATGTAATGCCTGCAGGTCTCTCTCTCCTCTCCTAGAGGAGAGAGAGACTTGACAGGCCACTGTAATGGATGGTTTATTTGTTTGTGGTATTGATTTATTAATTTGTTACACGCTAATCATTAATCAGCATCTGGTGCGCAGACAATACAAGAGGTCGGACAATCAGCCATGCAGTTTATTACCCACTGGCCTGCCATCTCTTCTCCAGAACTCACAGAGAAGCCTGAGTTTGTTAAAACACCAAACAGACAGATGAACTGAACTTCAAGCCCAGGAGGGGCTTTAGTTTCATACACTAAATGCCAACATTGTTTTGCACTCCTTGGGTTGAGCCCAGCCATGAAAGCAGTCCTAACTAGATCAGGGAGAGCTTGCCTCATGTCCCTAAGGTCAGAATTTGGCTAAACATATGCAGAACATGTTTGGCTCATTACACATGTACATATTAAATCTACATTCAGCAGTGAGGGAACAGAAAGACAATATATAGTAAAGATACTGGAACTGAACTTCAAAGATCAGGATGCAATTCCACGGACTCCCAGGGTGACTTTGGCCACAACAGTCGCTGTCCCCTGCTTCAGTTCCCATCTGTAAAAAGCAAAATAACCATCCCGCATTTTTACTTCATCCATCTTTGCAATTTAGACTCAGAGTTCTTTGTAGTGGTACGTCTTTCTCAAAATACATCCAGCTCCCAGCACACAATGTCCTCCTCAGAACAGCCTTATGGAAATGTATATTAAAAAAAAAAAACCACAACCCTTATAAAATATCCACTGATGAGATAAGACCACCAGCACAACAATGCAGTGAACAGCTGTAATCTGTGGGAGGATTATTTCTCTTTGCCATAAATGCCATCTATTTTTCAAGACATAAGTTATTCCCTTTCATAGAACAGTGAACTCAGTATCTGCAGACAACTTGCCTTCCAACCAGTACGTTTTTCAAAGGCTCCCAGTAGTTTGTGACATTAAATAGAAGGTGTCACATCTAAGTGACAAATATTAGTACTAGCTTGCTTAACATAATTTGTTTCTTCATTGGATATTTTATTCCAGATGAGCTGCTTTTCATCTGTATTTTCTAGGGGAAAAAATATGCATTCTGACGTGCAATGCTAATGTGCCCCCTGCAATGACCTCTTATCTCCAACTTTTCATTCTCACCTCCCATTCTCTTCAATGCATGAAATGAGCTCTACCAGCAGCTATTGGTCAAGAGTCTCATACATTGGATACCCGCCAAGGCTTTTGGGGTGTTTAGCACAGACAAAAGGTCTATTCCTATGACACACATATTTAAATTTAGCACTAAACTGGTGGAAAAAAAGAGAAAAATATGTAAAATGTCACTTCCTGACAAGCAGAAAATTAGAATTCATTCCCCTGAGAATTAAATGGACTTTTCTGCTTCCAGTCACTAACTATGACAAGGTTAACATTTTTCAGTCTAATGACTAAGGACATTAAGTGTGCATGTGAATAAGAAATAAAATTACTAGAGGGTATTAGCAAAGTGTGTGACAACAGCCCAAACTGACAACAGAACTCCAAGGATGCAGATTCTAACTAATAGTGACCATTTGCTGTGGAGAACCAACGGATAACAGAAACACGGAGTACAAGTACATGGAGATCATCTTTCTTTCATTGTTATTATTACAACAACATAAGCAATCAAAGGAAGATGTACATCTCTGGGTGGGGGTACAGCACATCTCAAAGCACTTCCAGCATGCTCCCAGTATCCCAGGCAGGGACACTAGACTGTTAACCAGAGGCCACAAAAGCCTGAAGAGACTCAGAAAAGGAAAAATTCCAAGTGCATCTCTTATTTCCCCAAGGATTCTTTCATCACTCCCCATTCGTGACTCAATTCTGATATGACATAAGGATTAGGGTATGAGATCAAGTTATCATTTGTGGCTTGCCTTAGCCTCTGTCCTTCCCAGTTAAATTTTTCCTGTAGCTCCTCACTGCCTTACTCAAATACTGCAAACATAACACATGCATCTATGACTTCTAAACAATAATGGACTTCCATCTAATGCAGCACCAGGCAGGAAGGACTCAAAGAAAAAGAGAAGTCTGTGTGTTATTGATATACCCTAGATATTAAGACACTGGAAATTATCAACTATTGGGAATCTGTCTGGACATAAATGAAATTGAGGCAGTAAAAGGTAAGACAGGAAGATTATATTTTCAAATATGTAATTTGTTATGTGAAAAATAAGTGTAAAAATGATGCTTAGAGATATGGGTCAAGTTTGAGAAAGCACTTTTAAACAGGGGTAGTTAATATGTTATCTAACAGAATGAAGAAAGCTGCAAGGACATCAACAGACTTCAATGCAGAAAGCTCTCCTTTTATTGTTTCTGCCTTTGATTTGGTTTCAAAAGCTACTTGGCCACAACTGAGAAAAATTTAAAACTTACTATTTAGGGACAAATGAAACATTTTAAAAATGAAAATAGACATTAGAACTAAAAAGAAGGAAAGAAAACCAGAAGAAAACAAGTACTTTCAAAACCATGGAATCTACCTCCAGATTAGCCAACTGGAAAGATTCACCAATTCCTCTGTGCTTTACTGTGATCCAGCAGGGTGCTCATTAGTCCAAAACAACACATTTTTTTTTTATTTTTTCTAGTCTATAAAGTCAGTGTAATGGACTATTAGGCAGCTCAGTTACAGATCATGTTTCCTCTGACATCAAAAGCTGGGTTCTCCTCTGTTCATCTGCAACTAACAGGCACACTTCTTACAGGTTCTGAAGGGTTTTTGCTTGGTCAAACCAGCATGAAACAATTCCTGCATGTTTTTACACCAATAGATAAGGCCTGACTCTGTCCCTCTAATTCATGTTGGCATGGCTATATTCCCTCCATCTTCCTTTTTGCCTGACTTGGTTTGCTCCCAGAAAGAGGTACAACCATATCTAGAAATCTTCGAAGAGAAAGATAATTTTAAACCCAGGCCTCATTTACAAGCCAGTTCATGGATTGACAATGCTGAACAGGAGCCTCTTTAGCAGGACCAGCCATTTCTCAGCCACGTGGTAAGCACAGCTGTAGAGCTGAGGTCTGTAACAAGAGAGGCATCAAGACAGCTATTCACTTTAGACACGACTTCCCCCAGTGCTGCATATGCCCTTTTCGCCATGCTCTGATCTGTATTCCACGCTGCTCTCACTCCGACTGGAGTCTGATTGCTTTTGGTCCCTGGCCTCATTACCTCACACTTCCCTACAATAAACTGCATAAGCCACTTATCTGCCTGTAATCCTGATAAATCCAAATCATTTTGAATGAGTTTGTTTTGTTCCTCTGTCCCCTACCCTCCTGCCCCTCCAACTTCCTCAGCCTTATTTTATGTCATCAGCATATTTAAGGCACTTTTGAAATTACATTCTGCTCAAGGTCACTGCACTGAATTTAATACCCCCCCCCCATACAGCACATCAATGCTTTAACTCCCATCTGATTTATTTATATTGTTTATTATCAGAGACCAATTCAATCAATACAAGCTAGAATTCAAACACACACACATTTGAATTATGCATACAAACACTCATCAAGAGATATAAGACAACTACTATAGTCCAGATCATTCCTCTAACATATGGCCAGCTTATAGGTGAGGAGACTAATAGCAATGAATTTTTATACCTTGACTTTCGCTTGACCCCAATGGCTGTTTGGTTACTGGAAACCAAAGGAATTGAAATAGCGTCACAAATTCCACGGAAGAGGCTTAAGCAAGGGATTTCTGCATTTCTTTTCCCAAGCCAGTAGGACCATATTTTAAGATGGGCTTTCTGAGTTGACAGTTCCTTTATTAGCTTCTGTACACACAGGAATTCTAGCAAAACACCATCAAACCATACCAGACAGTCACGTCAAGCAAACGTTGCAAACAGAACAGTGTACGGAGAACTGGAACTTGAAGGAAAACCAAAGCACTAACCTCAATTGCAGCCTAGGTTAGGCATTAAACCAACCTAAACGGGATGCTGGAAACATAGTAGAAAGTGAATAGCTTTTGGCTTCCCTCTGCAAACCGCTATCCTTTTTAAATATTAATGGCCAGCATGATCCTCAGACATGGTTCATGACCAACTTATGGTTGTCGTTGAACACACTTAGTGGTTAGAACACAAGGAACACTGCAAATTCAAAAAATGAAGGCAGAGAAAGCATGCATACACGGGTCCTACTATAGACAGAGATTGTCCTGTAGACAGAGGTAGACTATGCACACTGGACTGGAGCCTGCAGGGATTTGAGGCACAAAGATTAATCAGAAAATTTCAGTTGGGTGCATGAAGTTTGGGGAAGAAGAGTGCACGTTGTTCTGTACAAAAATATTTTGTGTCTGCTTGGTTAACTACAATGCTAACAGGAGTCTATCATGCTAAGTAAAATGCAAAATGGGACATCAATGTCCACCATCATCAATTGGGGGTCTCCAGGACTAGAAAGCAGATCCCTGCATAGCTGTCACCTTCAAAATTACATTCCCCAGCTGATCTGCAGTTCTTTCCCTTTCTCTCTGTCCTTTACTACCTCCTTATTGCTCTTCCCTGTCCATCCTCTCCCTAGCACAGATCCTTTGCAACTATATTTTATAAGCAATCCCCCTCTCTTCTAATCACTCTTCTGAAAAAGTTGTTTGTATCCTCACTGATAGAAGGTCTGTTAGACCAGAGCTGCACTGGTTCATACCATATAGAGGCATGGCCTAGGGTGTCGGGCATTAAATCACAGCCTCTCTGAACTCCTCTTGACTTTGATAGTGTCAAACTTCACCCTTGCATCTTCTCTGGCCTATAGTTACATAAGTTCCAGGAGTCTCTTTGAAATTTTGTTTTAATATTTCACCATTTATGCACAGAGAATATTTTGGCTTCTCTATCAATACATTTCTGCTTGGTAACTCCCAGTTTGAATGCTGATTGTGTTTTGCATAAAATTAACTAAATTGCAGCCCTTCTGTTTCATTGGTACTTTTTGTCTGCTTCCTTCATGAACAATGTCAGGAAGATTGCAAGCTGACTACAATTCTCTTTCCTAAGCAAGAGGAAAACAACATCTAAGAGCCCAATCAGTACAAGTTTCCTGATGTCTGTTGGGTTTTATAAGCTATATTGTACTCTAACATTTAACAATTTCTCTTCATTTGATTCACTTTAAGAAATGAATGTAATGATTGCCACAGTGTTCTGCACTACTGTTGTCTATTGATAAATATGGAACAGGTATAACAAGCAGCTTGCTCTTTTTTTCTATTTAAAAATTCACTGAGCTAACAAGTTATTTGTGCAATGCCAAAGTAATGACAGGTCTTTGCTCTCAAGTTTCAATATTCAGTTTCCATTGGGAGGTCTGCTGTAGGCTGTATTTCACAAGTAAGACAAGACCAACAGTGGTGTTAGGCTTCCAGCAGTGTTGATAAAACATATGAGCAGAAAACTCTACTCAGGTGTTGCCTGAGTCTGGATACCCCGCAGGTATAGAAGTTCCACTGATAAATAGCACATTTTAAAAAAAATTACCTCTCTGTCTTCATTGAAAGAAACTTTAATACCAAATAAGTTTCAGGACTATGAACTGGGAGCAGAGGGAGAGGCTTGTCTGCTGCCTAAAGCAAAGCACAGCTCTTGGTCCAGTGGGTGAGATCCACACTATATACAGGGAGACACATCATTCATTCAGCTGGGGCCCTTGGTATATGAAGCAGCAAGACACTTGAAAATTAATGCTGCAACATAGACTCTGCTATACTTCTACTTCCTTACAGATGCATCCATTCACCACTATGCACATCCTCATAGTATCTCACTTTTGGCAACAGCACCAAGCCTTTCTCTACTGCAGCATCCACATGGGAGAAGCTCAGAGGGACAAAGTAAATATAAGCAAGTTTGGGGTGTAACTCAGGTGAAACATTTCTAGGGAATGGGAAATGTTTGGGGAACATTTCACTGATGTTTGAAAGTATGAAAGGTGACAGTTGAGAGAGACCCAAGGCTCACTTGGCTACAGTGACTATCCCTAAATAGCAGCAGTCACTGTTTCAGGCTTGCTGAGCCTTCGCTTTCTCAAGGCTCTGGGGGAACAGCAGTCAGCATGACGGCTGTGAGTAATACTGGGAGTCTGCCCAGGCAAGGAAAGGGGGTAAGCTGGTAACGATAAGAAAGTGTGATGAATTATTCCTGTGCTTGTCATCTTTATTTAAGTTACTGCCTTTTGCATCCAGGGGAACCACAGTCCTTCCAAAAGAGTTGTTCTGGATTTCTTAATATTAGGAGACAGTTGTGATGTTTCTCCTGCCCTGGGCATAATTAGACTCAAGGCGGTTTTAGTCCCTTTTCTTCTCCATAATGATCTCCCTGTTTCTTTTCTGAGGAACCCAAAGTTCATTAACAAGTCCTTGCTAAAGTCTTCTGGAGACTGATCCTTTGCCTGTGCTGTAGCATAGAGAAGATAAAGTAATGGTTGCAATGCAAAAATGCACCAATCTTTTGCTTACCTATTTGTTTCCTTGAAAAAGTTATTACAGCTTCCCTTCCAGAAACAGACTTTTGCACACCAATGCAATAGAGAAACAACATTTTCAAGGAGTCCTGATACTATACAAGAGAGAAATCAAGTTCCCAAGATCACATATGAAGCAGCGACAGAGCTGAGCATAGATTTCAAGAATCCAGAGCCTCAGTCTCTTCAACAGTCACATTTCTGTCTGAGCTGTGCATCTCAGTCTGCTGTCTCCCCTGATGTTTTTATCTGGTGCACACTACAGCATAGCTGGTTACTTTAAGACAGGCAACATTATCTGCTTTGTCTACATCCAATTTTTATTCTTTGGAATAGAAACCTTAAACAACAAATAAAATCAGCATTCAACAATGGCTGCCACGTAGTCCAAACAGTTTTCCAGACCATCCTGTCACACAACAGCATTCTTAAAGGCACACGTTTAGTTAGATCTCTTTGCCCCACTCCTCTCTAACAAGACCTGCGAAACATTCTGATTTCTGGTTTTATTATCCCAGCAGTTTCCTTCAGTGTGAATAGCTTATTTATCTCCTTGGCATTTATCATCTTAGATAAAGAGCAACACTATCCTTGCATGGTCCCTTCTATCAGCTATGCTATACTCTCCTGGCTCTCTCAGGAAAAGGAACTCCTTCCTTTCCCCTGGTTAATTTAGGTGTCTCTTCTAGCTTGAGTTCACCTTTCTCGCCTAACCAAAACAGCACATGCTGTTCCAGAGCTTGTCTTGCCCACACATTAATTCTCTTCTAATTTGTCCCAATACAATTTTAGATTGGTGCGCACCAATCCATTTCCCAGCTGCAACACATTGGTGACTTCTGTTCTGTTCTTTCCAATGGATGAGTCTCCAGCTTCCAGCAAAAAATACTTGCTATTTGGCCCTAACTACATAATCACACAGTACATAATTTCCTGCCATTCCTGGCATTCCTGTCCTGAGGTCACCCAGATCTCTCCATATGACATTCACTGTTCTTTCCCAGAGCTACGCAGCATGCTGCATAATGTCTAAAAGCAACTACAAATCCTCTCTCCGTTTCTAGAAGCTTGGTACAGATTAGACAGTCTAGACAGACAATAGGAAGAAAGAATAAAGGATTTTTAAGGACTTCTCTGTATAATCCTGCTTGCAATGTTCAACTGCTCAGCAAAATGCCAGAAGCACCATCTTTTTTTTATCTTGTCTACTGATCACTTTGATAAAATTTGTGATCTTCTCATTCTCCAAAGCAGTTATTAAACAACTACATAAGTCACTAGAATTAATCATCAGTGTAAAACCTGTTCAAGTGAACTTTGTTTAGATGACACCATGAAGGCATGCCCTCAAACCAAAGGAATTCTGCGCTCATTTGTTCAGACTGATGTCGGCATGTGTAAGCATTACTGTGTGTCCTCTGGAATCACAGTACAGAAGTGGTACTTCCCATAGCCTGAAGTTCTGGACCTTGCTTTATTAGTTGATTAAAATAAGGAAAGATAAGAGGTATTTATCATCTTAGATTTGAGAAAATTTAAGTACAAATACCAATTCAGAAGGAATACAGGGCTGCTACTTTTGAAACTCTGGGTAGATTATCTTCACAACTGGATGCAACTGAGAAGATATGGCTCAAACACAAACAGCAATTTTTCATAGAGGAATGGTGAACACAACACAGACCTAGGGAGGAGAGGGCACACATGTCCTGCAGACCACTCTGGAGGCCCTGCTCCCACCGACTGCCATGATTGCCCCACTCCTGCAACTTCCGTTGTATAACTTCAGGCTATTCAAAAGAACAACTAGGGATTTTCCCTTTACGTTGAGACCTTTTAAACTGAAGGAAAAGAAAGCAATAGCAACAGAGAAGTAAAACAATCACTCAAAGCCCTTTCAGTTTACAAAAAAAGCTGAAGGGATATTTTTGTTAGATCGCTCTAGAGATTGAATCTGTGGGTTTTTTATTTCTCAGCCTCCATTCCTGGTTCACGCACGCTGTTCTATGAACAGCACATAGTCTGGTGGCAGGGAAGATCCAAGGCAGGCTCAAAGCCCTGCTTTCAGACTAGGTATCCATCCAACCCTCCACCCTGAATGAGGCAGACAAGTGCTTAGGGGACGGAGCTGCATTTTTAAAGTATTCCAGGTTAGTATTTTAAATTTACTAACATGGAAACTAGGCTTAGGGACTTACTTCCAGGAAGCTGAGAACTGTGAGCACAGGGAAATGATTCCCTGGACAGACTAAACTATCTGTCTCTGAACTAGGCAGCCACATGCCTGGATACCTGCCACATCACGCTTACTGTGCTCACCCTGAGCAACACTCCATATTTCTATCTGGGACCATCTGACAAGAAACATACATGGGAACATTATTCAGATCCCACGGGTTTTTTTCTGGAATATAGGGCACCTTTGCTTGGGTACTACGATGTCCTGCTTTGCAGCCCTTCCTACAGGACTAGGTCTATGTAACTTGCCTCTATTCATTCAGTGCACAGAGCAAAGCTGGGAGCATTCAAGTCAATTCTTAGTCCAGACCATTAGCCACAATCTCTCCCTTAAGGGATATAAACTAAAGGTATCAAAGTTCACAGCCAGCTTCTTTCTGATCCTCATTTCACCTATTCATAAAAGACAATGCTGCATGATTTTTATCACGTTCTGGATATAGCTACTCCCAGGCACTGATCTGGAACACAAAAAGTATTGAGACCAAAATTCACTAATTACCTGGATATTTATGTAGCAATCCTGGTATCAGTTAAAGAAAATGCTCTGACACAAGGAAACATGAACAACTCAGGTTAGTTATTTGCATAGTCTCCCTATGCATGGGGCTTTGCAAGCAAAAAGGCAGTGCGCCAAGTTCTCAGGAGTGCTCAGCTCCCACTGAGAATCACCTCTTCGGTGGTTAATTGAAAGTGCCAAGTTCTTTGGAAAAATGTCTCTTCAAGCAAAACAATAGAAACTCCTCAACATTGAGCACTGAGTTCTTAGTAACACCTCAGGAAACAGACTACAAGCTCAGCTTCCTTCTACTGATCATAGAGAGACTGTAAGTAGTATTTTTATTTTTAAAGTATCTAAGGGATCTGGGATACTAAGAAACTTTGAATGCAGATGGGCAAGCAAGTCCCTTCACTCCACCACTGGCTTCAGGAAACCCCAACCTTCAAAGCCCTGAGGCTAAAAATGTTGGGAGACACTAAGCAAGCACTGGGCAATGATAATTAGCCACTTACATGTGCATCAACTTTGCCTGCACTCTCCCATGGCAGACAAACTGCCCTACTTATAAAATAACCCTTAACTGATCTGCCAGAGGCAATAAAGCCAGCCAGGGCCAGAACAGGATTAAAGATCTAGGGATTTCCAGTCCCCTGAAATACCCATTAAACTGTATCATCCTGGTCTGTTGCCAACTATTAGGAAATTATCCTTGCTAGCATTCCAAAGAACCTGCAGACAGGCTCGAGCTCTCCTACAACCCGTATTAACTAAATGGCCGGTTTGGCTAGGAAACAACGTTATAAATACTTGAGCTACAAATTAAAAGTGTGTTTGAGAGCTGTGCTGTCAAGTTAGTTGTCATCTTAGCTGCAGCATCACCAGCACATGAGCTTATTTCATAACTGAAACCTAGAAATCCCACCCAGTGACCTATATCTGAAGTGTGGGTCTCTGGGAAAGTTACTGACTGTCCCTTGAAATTTGCCAGAACCAAGTTAGTCCGTATGTATTTTAGGACATGGGACCAGACATTTGCTGCAAGGCCCGATTCACAGCGCCAGAGGGTGGCACAGCGCCCGGGGATCTCTTCCTGCACTGGAAATGAACTATGGTGCGTTCACTCTGCTTCTGGCCCCACAGGCGGGCAAGGCTCACTGCCGTTTGTCCTTCGCTGTCTGGGCTAAGAGCTCTTGCCCCATAGCTTAGGAGCAGTTCGATGCAGTCGCACTGGCTTGTGACAGCAGCGACGTGAAGGGCAGTCCTTCCTAGGGGGGTTTTGGAATGCAAATCTGCACCTGCAGAAAAAAAAAAGAAATCATACAAGTCAGAGTGTGACAAGGCATACGAAAGGAAGTAATGCCACCTGCGGGCCACAATGCACAATTTTTTTCTGAAGGCAGATGCAGTTTGTTTTAGTACCATCTAATCAGTGGAATTAAACCTGCCTAGTGAACAAATGCTCCTACCTTAGCTCACACACAACAAATGGATATGGTTTGTTCCATTCAGGGGAACATTGCTAGCTTTGCCGCAGCTAGGCATTGCCATTATTTTTGCACTGGGAGCTCTCACTTGCTGGGAGAGGACAATGTCCTTTAACAGGGACAGACTTTGAGGCGGCCAGGCTCAAGAACCGGGATTGAAGGGAGCGCTGTCAGACAACGTGGGATTTTCTCCTCAGCACTCGCTTTCAATGATAAAAAGTGATTAACAAATGTCCTTTCATTCAGGACAATCAAGTGACCTCAGCCGACCCAAAGGACTGTCCATTGTGCAAATGCAGATTTCTGGGGAAATGGCTTATTTAGTTGCAAAGCAACAAAAAAGCCCAAATGTCAGAGGCATAGAACTAGTGCTTACAACTCTCCTTGCACTTCAGTGGCTGATAAAGCACTGCATAAGACTGATAAAAATGAAGTATTTCTACATAATAAGAAAGTAGCAATAAATAAATGAGACTGAAAGAGGGAAGTAAAAAAAAAAAATCAGAGTCCTGTTTTCCAACATTAATTTCTCTAACACCAAAAGTCATTAGACTTAGCAAGAACAGAATTTTTTGTCTCCAAGTCTACATCAGAACTAGATGTGCTGAACACATGCTCCACCTCAAATACAAAATATGAGGCCATTTGGGTAAAATTCTATGGCCTGGGTAAGCAGGAAGGTGGTATGCTGTGCAGGTACAACCAGAGAAGAATTGTTCTAAGAACATTACCATGTCTCAGGAGAAACTTGGCAGTTTCAACATGACCTCTGTGGCTGGCAACAAACAGTGCTATGAAAGCTCGGTGAGCTACCCATTCCTTTTTCTGCTCTGGTCCCAGTAACTCTGCATATGGCATGGTGCCCTCAAAGTCCACTGTAACTCCCAGATGGGCTAGCTGCAGAATAAACACAAACCTTTTAGTCTCAAAAGAGTAGACTGATTCTTTTTAGGTATCAACAAAGTCTCATATCTGTACTTATGGGATGCTTGCACACTGGATAAATCGCTCCAAGATCAGCTAAGTAATACCTGCTTGTTTCTTATTCTTCTGCTCCATCTTGATTCTTTATCTAATGATATTTATTTGTAGCTATCCCTTGGAGGGAACATTAATTTGGGGTTTCCTTTCCTATGTAGTTATTAAGCACCACAAAATCTTCTAGAAATTGTTTCTCTTTGCAATCCTTGTCCTTCTCTTAAATCTGTTGGAAACGGACCTGAGCTTTTGGGAAAAAGGACAGAGGGCATTGGCCACATAAGCCCAGGTTCCTTAGAAGGTAGACAAGACATCAGGCCTTAATTCCAGCAGGCAACTCATAAACCTAAGCTGCCTCAGAACAGTCCTGTATTGCATTCTTTCACAGAAGGAGCTTTTTTTGGTAATACACCCAAGCACATCAGTTCTAAAGTGTTGCCAAGAGGCCTCTTAGGAACAATTTTCAGGTGCCTCACGCTGCTGTTCTTCCTGAGAAACTGTTTCCATGTCAGGCTGCATCTTCCACAAAGCACCATGGGTTTCTCATCTAGCAAGTGGAAGCACATTATTAGAACAGCTGTACAGTTATTAAAAAGATGGGGTTTATTCATTTGAAAATCAACAGTGTCAACAAGCTTTTTGTGAGGCTCTTATACCAATACACCTTTCATTTCAAAGGAGACCATTTGTCTTTGTGGTACATACTTCTGTTTCCTGCTCTACACTGAGTAGGAAGAATCTTTAATACAAAGGGAACACAAAACACATGGGAAAACCAAACAAAACCAAACTAACAATTTGCCCAACAGCAAAACGCAAGCCATTTGTGGCATGAGGCAGAACAGCTGCTTGCCAATGAAGTGCAACACTACACAACAGTTAAGGAAAGGAAGCAAAGAACCCCACAGCATCCATTTGCAGTGGTTGGGGAAACGCAGAGGAACAGAATGCGATTAGCCAGGTTGGAATTTGGCCAGGGCAATGGAGATAATGGTTCTTTATGAAAGGTGCCAAAGGATATTTCATGAACACATCTGTTCGGGCCTGAAGGTTTCCAGTACAAATCAGCTGGAGTACCTTGTGTTTCTGCTGAGACAACATTTCAGTCCTAAATCAAGAAAGCAGCATGCCCTCTATCAGACCACCACAGAAACTATTTGTTCTATTAAAAAAAAAAAAACAAACCCCAAAAAACCACACAAAGCTTTCTTACTAATCAGACTTGACAGGATCACAGACTCAAGAAGGTCCGTAAGGTAGCAGCAGATAAAGTAGATGAGACAGGGAATGTTTTCTGACTTTTGATTTTGATACTGTCACATAGAGTCTCATTCTTACTCTGGAGTCAGTATGGCCAGAAGAGGATGGACTGTGAAACAGAGTTTCTGCCCTTGATTCTCATAACAACAGACAAGTCATTCAGCCTCACCATAATACCCAAGAACAGATAATCTTCTATGATATTTTAAGATAACAAAAAAAAAGGCCTTGTTTATATACTATGTATTATTTCTCCTATCTATATGAAAAACACTGGGATTAAGTATCTTTGGCTGAGAAGACATCAGAAGAGTAAAATGGCAGGCAGCTGAATAAAAAATGCAAAATTTTTTGGACATCAGGATAAGCAGGGACAAGAAAAGTAATCTGAAAGTATACTCACATGAGTGCTACAAAAACTTATAGAACAGTGAAAAGAACTTGCACTCCAAGCATATGTGCTGCTTACTAGTAAGAGCAAAAAATCGTCTTATTTCTAAATTGAACAGACTGCATTAGGGATTGACTCCTTGGTTTTGGATTACCAGCCGCCTTGAAATTACCATTTTCATTGTGAACTGTTGCCAGTACAACTAACCTACTTCCTTTCTATGGCAAGTCTCTTCCGTTAAAGACTTCCCCACTGTTTGCTCTACGAAGTCTTGCTTTATAAGAGTACTTAGACCCTGAGCAATAGGCTTTTAGCTTTTCCACACACAGCACCCCACCCATTCACAGAAGTAATGGCATCAACCTTCATAGTATCTCCTTTTGCAGCAGCTGCCACAAGATGACCCCAGCCATCTTGTCGCCAGATGCGCATTGTAATCCTTCCACCAGGGACAATGTCATTGTCCTCAAAAGTAGACTCATCTGGCAGATCTGCTGTAGGGAGTTGAAAAGAAAAGCAAGTCAACGTATCCTCAGAGAAGACAACAGCCAGCTTAAAAAAAAATTAAAAAAAATAAGGTTAGACAGTGACCGAATTCTTTTAGCCATGCTGGTGTTATCTGATTTTACTGTCATAATGCATCAAGGACACCTCCAGTCCCATTGTGCTGAAGCTACGAAAACAAATATATGCTCCCAGCCTAGAAAAAGCTACAATATAGTGTACTTGGGATAATATGGTTGTAACCCACAGAAAGCTGCAGTTCACATGTGAAGTACCAAGACTGTAGGAGAAACATACTTGAGTGAATCCATACACACATGGTGTCTTTATTCTAAAAAGACAGCACCAAGTTTGTTTGATCTGAGAAAGCAAGTAATAGGGAGAGCTATTTTAAATAGCAAGTTTAAACAAGTTTCAAGGGCTATCTCTGCTTGTTACCTCCAAAGCCAAGTATTCCAACACCACACATTCAGCTGACATAATGGGAAAAAACACTGCTCCACACAATTCTAAACTTACTAGAACCTTGCTAGAGCCGTTCTAGGCTGAGGTGAACCAGCCAGATACTGGCATTGGCCATTGACAAGGCTAAGCAGGAATGTAGCAGTCAGCACTTGCAGTCTCTAACCTGAAGAGACCCTGTTGAATGGACCATTATCTTTAAGGAGTAGGAAGCAAAGTGAAGCACTAAGAGCTGAATTCCAAGCGCAGTACGGTAAAAAGAGGAAAGCAGAACCCTAACCTTCATCCAGGACCTAAACACAGCCATAACTAGCAGACAAAGAAACACTACAAATAACTTCCAAGAATCCCAGAGTTTACAGGTTCTCACCTTCATCCAGGTACTGAAGGCGTTGGAAATGAAGGGGGATCCCAGCCAACAACTCTAAAGGGGACTTAAGCTTCCTCAGAGTCAAGTCGTTTTGGCATTGAGGCAGTGAAAAGATCTCATTAGTTTCAGCTAGATGGAGCTGGACACTGAAGGTCTGTAGGGGCAAGGAAGGCATGGTGAAGAAGTGGCTCCTGACCAGTAAAAGTTCTTGAGACTTGCCTCTTCAAAAAAGCTTGGAATCTTTATAAGGACAGGGGTCTAGACCTGGTAGTAATTCTTCACTCCCCTAGACATTCCCCTTGTGTCATTAAAGCCCCTCCAAGTATAGATCCCCCCGTGTATCATAAGCATATTACAATATTCAGGCAGCATAAACTGACATCACAGAAGTACACTCTGCATGTGTGATGTAACAGCCTACACAAACTTACCAGAGACCACCACAAAGTAATGCACCAGAGTGATTACGGAAAGATTTTTGTTCTTGCCCAACTTTTGATTTCCACTACGATGACAAACTCACTTGGAAGACAACCAGCAGAGAAACAAAGTAGTAACTCGGGTAAGCACCCAAAGTTGCCTGTATTTTATGTTCCTGTTTTCTTTGTTGAAGTCTAGATAGATCTCCATCTACATGTTTAATATGTGTAATGTGTAATAAAAAGACCATATGGCTGTTTTAATTTGTGTTTCCAGTTTACTACATAGGTGCCTTGTGCCCCAACTCAAAGCATGTGGGTAGGCTTTACCGGGGGGTGCAGGGACTATTTTATTCTCCCCACTTTTGCATCAGCTAAAATCCTGCAGAGAAAAGAAGTCAGATATTCTTTTGCAGTAGTTGGCAGAAGTTGTTGAGCACAGGATGGAGCAGCTAGTGAGTGTCTGGAACTGCCAAAAGGATGACTGCAGCAGTAGAAGATATAGAAGACTCCTGAAATTAGAAGCAAAATCAACCAGCCAGGTACTGATTATTCATTCCCACCCCCAACTCCAAGGCCTAACAGCTACACAGAGTTCATCAATGTAGGATGTCTGAGAGCAACAACACCGCACTGCAAAACCAGTCCAGAATGTCCTTCCGGGCTGAAGTTTGGAGAGGGAAGGATTTAAGACAAGGATCTGAATGCCAGTCTCAGCTAGCACACACAAGTTCTCTTCATTTAAAATATATCTTGTTAAGAGTTTCAGTTCCGACAGAACAATTTTAGTTCCAAAGCACTTTTGGCATGCTCACTTCAAGGAAAAAAGAGCTACTTCAAGTCTCTGGACATTTAATGGATTTTTTTTTAACTATGCAGTATGATGAATTCCACACTCAACCCTGGTTTGACAGATGACAGTGTTTACGCTAGGGAGACATTTCATTAACCAAAAGAAAACACTCACATCCCACCTATGACAAAAGTCAGTTACCACAAGTTGGTTTATAAAACAGTCACAGGATTTATTGAGATAAATACAAATAGAAAGTTACATAGATTCTCTATTCTGACAAGTGAATGACACTTCCAGAGCGTCCCCACTTCACTGGGTTCTAAACAACACTGTGTACAGACAAAACCACCACTAGGGCAGCATCCTGACCAATGCCAAGTGTGTATCATACATGAGATACCAGGGAGTTTGAATTCTAAGCAACATGACTAACATGCTTTGGATTACAAGTGCTTGATAATTTCCTATAGCATCCAAGCGATATTGCACCCACTAACGTTATTTTCATGTTCCTTAGCTAGAAATGTTTAAAAGTTATATTCTTACTGCTGCTGTGAAAGTGGATCAACTACCTAACTTTGCTCCATCTGGCTTATAAAATACATATTTTTGCATAATTTAAACAACCCAGAGAATTGTACATGAACACGCCACTTTACTCATCATTGCATACATTTGTCTAGTACAAGATGTAAAGTGCGGTCTTTAGTCATGCTGAAATAATTTCTAGTTTAAAACTAAACCAAAAAGACAAACCTTGGAGAGAGTATATCTGTCTAATAGACCTGCACATTGACTACAAAAAAACCCATGCCAAAACTATGATGTCCCCATTAGTGCATGCAGCCATAGAGTTTTAACAAAAGTTTTTAAATGCGCTACTGAAATCATATCATTTAAAGCAGACATGATTTCTGGAGCCAGAGAGGTACCAAAATATTGTTAAAAACAAAGAACTTTTTTTAGCCTTTTGGTGAACTTTTATAGCTGGTGGCTTACTGTTTACACATATTCTAATTAAAAACTCTTAGTGAACACTAACCAAACATGCTAAAACATATGGAAGCTTGTGTTTTCCAGTGGATTATTGCAAGTAAAGGTAACTATTTAAGATTATCTGACAAACAGGAACCTGGGTTGGGTTAATGTTCAAAGTATTTAATTTATATACAGTACATTTCAAACATACTTACATATACACACACTTAAAAAAATTTGTTCAGTGCTGAGAAATTTAATGAACTGATAATAAAAAACAGAAGTAAAACCTTGTCAGAAAGGCCTTAGAAAATTTGAACTGTTAGAAAATACCAGTATAATGCCAGCATTAGAAAAAGATATCAGAACTAGAAAAAATTAACTTGAGGGGTCTTTTTGTTAAGAAATAGCAATCATAAAAAGTCTGTACTGAAGAAGCATTTGTTTTAAATTATAAAAAAAAACTGTAAAAAATTAAATGTATAATGTTGCAGAATTTACAGAGTTTATACTGGTTGCTGTAATAGCAGTGATAGCAGTGGTATATTTCTGCCTGCAACTTCCAAAAAGCATTCTGTGATCTCACAAGAAAACGATTTGTTACAAATACTGTACATATTATAATACAAGACTAGTTAAACAAACTTATACAAAACTGAGCCCTCCAAAAATACAGAACCCAGCTGAGGAACCTACTTGCTGTATTGCAGACAAGCCAGATTTAAAACAAAACAAAAAAAGGAAAAAGTAATTTCTGTAAAAACCTTCACCCATGTGAACTACTTACTAGTATAATAGCGAAATAAGGGGAAATATTTACACAGGTCTATTTATGATAAAGTATTGTGTTCACAGAGAGAAAGTAACTGTTATTACGTGAAACCATTTGAACAGGACAAAGTTCCAATCCACAATCTAAAAAAGTGCGACTTTTTTCTTCCAGGCCCCACATCTGCAGATTTGGGACACAACAGAAGACAAGATCCACCAAAAAGTATTAGCTTTATAATTTTTCAAACTGGTCAGAAGCTATCTGATTCTATTAACAGAACTTTGTTCTATCTGTATAGTCTGTCTTTCTTCCAAAACACCTGTTTAATACACAGAAGACATCCTACTTCAGCTTAAGGATCTCAGTAGCCCTCGTTTGTGGTTTGCCCCAAACCTTACCATACAATCCACAGAAGTTAGAGCAAACTGCATCACCACCTTCCCCCTGAACATTTGTTATTTGGGATTTTTCAGAATTTAGAAGCAGCGGGCTGTTCAGGATTTGAAAACTGGACCAGTTAAAAGGTCTTTTTTAAATGAGGTGTGTATGTAAAACAAAAAAAAATTAAGTCTGTAAAACTCTATAATACCCTTCTACAGATACAGCACATGTTGCAGGAACTGAATCACTTAAATGAAGTGAACTTTGCTAGGGCAGAATGAGTAATTTTCAGTTTGGTAAATTTACAGTCTACCTAGCACTACGAGAGCCAGCAGAACAAAACCAGACATGTTAACACTTGTAAGGGTATAGCTCAGAAATAAGAAATTAATAGAAAAGTCACAATATACAAAGAATGTTGAGCTCTCTGTGCTTTCAAAAATATCACATTAAGTAAAAACAAACCATGCCTTAATTCTAGCAGAGTAACTACTTTATAAAATGAAATGATTTTTTGAGCTTTTTTCCACTGATACAGAATTAAGTTCTCCATTGTTTTTGTTAAAACTCAAAACTATTCACATATATACATTTTTTTCAGTTAAAATGCAATACTTGAAACAATACAAAAACTACAATAAACATGAGGAAAGAATATCTTCATGTAAGTTTGCTAAAATGAGTTTTTAAGATTTAGAAACCATTTTAAGCTTATCACAGACTGCTCTACAACTGGAAATGTTTTGTTAGAAAATGAAACATGAATTCCAATTACACTGAAACACTGAGTATGGTGTAAGACTTCACATACAATACTTAACTGCAGGTGAGATCAGAGTTATCACCCACATTTACAAAGAAAAAAACCCAAAAGGAATTACTCATGTGTATCGGAAAAACACAGAGCTGTAGATGAAACATGGTCACGAAATGAAGACTGTAACATTTCTCAATACATCCTTTCTTAGGTAACAAAAACCTTCTTATTTGTCCACATTATTCACACTAACTGTGAACATAAGGTGAATAACCATTTTGACATTCAACATTTACTGCAGAGAAACACATTAGTTTTGCTTTTCAATGGTAGTATTGCCTATGTTACCCTGCTTTAGTTTTATGGTGGCAAAGAAGGACACATCTTGATCTCTGTCAGATTGCAGGGCTAGAATGGTCTCTTCTACAGCTTCTAGATGAGGATTGCCAACACTTTTAAAATAAGCTAGAATAAGGGGAGAAAAAGACAATTTTAATCAAAGCCAAAAGAATAAACCCTGGGGCATAAGTAGTGCAGAAATACAGAGGATGCCAAAAACATCTGGGGTAGTCATCCGATTTATAGGCTCCCTAGAGAAAATACAGGAAGCTGAGAAAGCTGAGAGAGAAAGAGAAATATACTGCTTCTTACTCATCTTATTAGGTACTTAAGTATTTCTAAGAGAAATTCTTTTTGCTGAACCCTAAATAGAAATGTATCAACAAGTAAAAGCAAGCTCAGGAAGCTACCACTGTACAATGCATTACAAAACATTCTCCATACTTCATTCTGTAAAAAGATAGGAGATTTCTGCGCATCTTCCTTCAAATAATCAGACAAGCTGATTTTTTTGTTTTTAAGGAATACAGGAAATTATAGCAGCACACAAGTTTACATTCCTTCTTAGTACAACTGTCAGCTTAAGACTAAAATGACAAAGCAACCTGTTTCAGAAACAGGTATAACACTTGCCCTGAAGGACCCCAAAAACGACTACTTCATTAACATAAAGGTCTGAAATGTATCAAAATAATCTAATGTGATGTTTAAGAAAGAAGTATTAGCTGCACACATCCCAGATGCCTGCAGCGAGCCCCAGGACGGGCCGTACGCCTTGCTCTAAAGAAGGCTCCAGCTGCCCTCTAGCGGGTGATGGTCGGTGCCCGTTCCAGGTTCATCAGGGATGGCCATCAATATTCTAAGACAGAAAAGCCACCACAGCATACATTCCTAAACATACTATTCCTGAATTTAAATGCAGTAGCCCAGATTACAATGTATAATTCTGTTTTCAGTACAAGCAGAACCAAACAGCCTTTTACCGCTTGAGCCAATTTATCAAGAACTGCACTGGCAGAGGAAAGGCAGTTATCATGAGACACTAGTTCTTTCAAAGGAAATTAATGACCACACCTTTCTCCAGTAACGTCTGCCTTAGAGCCTTGGCGAGTAGAACCCTTACGTTTGGCACGGGATCTGAAGCAAGACTTAAAAGACTGGGGAGCAAGTGTTCAACAAACTGGTCGACAGGCATACATTCTTCTTCTACTACGGCCTACAAGATAAACACAGAACATGAGAAAGCAAGATTTAGGTTAAAAATACACTATTTGCCATTCCTTTCCATCTTGTCCTTAATTTGGCCTGACTGTTAAAAAAAAGTCAGTGATTAACTCTGAACAAATACACCCTATGTTGGTGAAATAAGAACCATCTTTGAAATACTGTTACGTCTTACCATTCTAAAGTTCATCTGAAGATGACCCAACAAGAGCAGATAACTTTTTTTTAACTGTATTTTAGGAAATACTGCTTTCTTGCCTGTCATCACCTTTTTGCCCTTCAACATTCAACCCTTGCTCCTCACTGCTACTGAAGTAAGCATTTTTGGTTTGGAGAGGGGGGTAGGTAAGTGGAAATAAAGAGGGAAATAGTTCCTGGCATCTAGCACCCACTGGTAGTTTGAAGAGCTCTTGTGAACCTCTATCCCAGCATGTCAAAGTATTTAAAAATGCACCTCTGTTTAGAACTTAATTTTTGACTTTGCTACTGGGATGCCAGAAAGTACAAGGATCAATTATTTCAGCTGGAGGCACAGACCAAAACAAGGGCCACAGCTTCAAAACGGTACAGCCATATACTAGTACTGAGACCAGAACAACTCTGCCACTGTCTTTTGTCAACCTACAGAATCATAAAACCCAAAGAATGACAAAAAAAAATTCTGAGTCCAAATTCCAGTTTTGCCCACGTTGCTGAAAAGCCCCTGACTGGCTCCAAATTAAATGCACACTTTTGTACATTTACAAATGTCTACATTTGTACAATGTAGAAACACAGAGAGAGAACATTCCAACCTGACAAATGAAGGCAAAAGCTTGTCTTCCAACCCACTTGGAGCAGTGACGAAACCGCACTACAAGTTCATTAATGAAATTTAATCCCAGTGCATTTGCATTGTTTGCGTAGAACTTCTGTAGTATTGCTACAACCTGTGAAGCAAAGGAAGGGCGAAGGGGAAACAGACGGGGAGAAAAAAGAAAAAAGAAGATATGAGACTTAAGTTGTAGCTTTAAGAAAGTTAAAAAAGCATCACTTCATTTGAATCCTCCAAAGGGAAACCAAAAACTGTATTCAGTATCATCAGTCGTGCTTGCAGGATTTAATAAATTACTGGGCTTATTCTGGAGAAAAGAAAGTGTAAGCTTTAAAAAAAAATGTTTGTTCAGGTGAAAAAAACCAAAAAAAAACCACTAAGAGAAATTAAAACAACCATTAAAATAATCCCCATTTCCATGGTACCATGAAGAAAAAGAAGAGATTGAAGGAATCTTTCTATTCACTCAGGACATTTGTGGGGTGATGGCATTATAATGAAGTTCATAATAAATTAAGTAGATTTTGAGGAAAGATAAGTAATTATTTTTCCCCCAGATCTGGGGGAAGGTCTCCCAAATCTCTGGAAGTCTGACAACTCAAAATATTTTACAAAGTTTTCATTTCACTTTTTACCATATTGTTTACCATATTTATCAAAACATATCTGTATTCAGCCTACTCATCTGAAAGAAAAGAGAGTGATTTCAGGTATCCCTCTCAAGGATCATTTTCCTCCTCTCCTGCCAGGAAGTGAACTAAATCCCCTACCAGTTTGAAGGAGATCCACCGAACTTCTGAAACTTTATCGGAGCAGAGAGTTAGTGCAATATGTCTTAAGTAGTCATAGACATCATTGGGACTGTAGAGTTCCAGTATCAGGATCAGCTGCCTGGAACACAAAGAAAGCGATTAACTCCAGCAAGTGCAACACTAACCTGCTCCGATTATACCATCTGTTAAACATAGGGAGAGATCATTTGGAGCTTCAAAAATACCATGGTTGTTACAAAGCACTTGAACAGTTTGTTCTTCTCTTTAGTTTATAAAGGTGCACACACATATTAAAGAGGTACATGCTTTAACCCATCAAGGAGTCCAAGAGAAACATTTGTCTAAACTACACATACCAATGAATCAGAATTATCCCGAATGGTAACAAAAGCTACAAACAGAAGTACAATGCAACTTCAGACCAATATCCTGTACATTCTTACAAAGTAAAAATGAAAAATTTATTTCAGTGTAGAAATCTACATTTCAGAAAACAGTTTCTATCTCTGAACTGCACAGAACTCATTCTAGCCACACCACTGCCAGGATGTTACCAGCAGCCATGCACAAACCAACCACAAAGTGGCAGCTCTCCACCAGATGTCAGGGAACTGCTGTACAACATTCTTGCATTGGAGTGAGATTTAGTTTGTTGTGCCAAACTACAAAGGCAGAGTAAATCCTCAATAGCCCAAACAAAGCAACGAGATAAACATGAAGGTCAGATTTTAGCTGCAAACTATGCCTACGAACATTCTTTGGGTGCTTCAAATATCAACAGGGCTTGTAGAAAAAGAATTGTGGGGATGTTGCTCTATCTCCATTATACACCCAGCCATACGGAAATACCAAATGAATGAACTAATTTTTTTAAGAACTGTTTTTTCTTTCATACGCATTAGAAAAATGACTTTGTATATACATTTCAAGGCAGTCTAGAACTGAATAAAATCTGAAATGTCACTGAATAGTACCTATCAGATTGTCATATTTCATAAGCTGCAAGTGAACCAGATCTCCATTTTAGTATAATCACAGACATTTAAGTTTCAGTCACACTTGATTACAACACAACTTGCCACACCACCCCCCCCCCCCGCAAAATCCCCAACAGCCAGTGGCTTTTAAGTTCGGTTCCTTAATAATGAATGGTTGTAATCTTTTACCTCCTAATTAGGGTGTGCTAACTTCTGAATGTAATTACCTATTTCCAAGTTAGTAATATAGATTAAAAATAAGAAGTTAACAAAATTACATACTCTGCCAGCTCATAACGAAACCTCCAGTTCCTGCTGTTATCAGTCACCACAAATTCTTGAAGTTGGTAAAGATACTCTCGCCTTTTGTCCGCATGAAGTAACTAAAGGAAAAACATTACTAGTATAAAACTGATAAAATTCAATACTTGCAGTTCTCTGGGGTATTACTGTATTCATGCCTATACACACTTTCCTACTTGAAACCAAGTGATCATTCATAAGAAGCTTACTACAAATTGCGTACAATCAGCTGAGTGCCTGGACTCACAAGATTGACATCCAAAAAAGTACATTAAGTCATAACTTCTGCAAGGATACCTGTCAGAGCACCATCTCTGGACATAAGAAAACTAAGGAGTTAGGTTTATTACACAGCAGCCCACCAAGATCTGCTCTTTTCTCTCCCAGGCCCAAACACAAGTTGCTAACGGTCCAACTTTCCTACTGGACTGCACAAAATACTAATTCCTTTACATCAGCCAGGGGCATTTACAACCACCTTTACAACGAGTTTTCAGTTTTGATATTTTGTTGGGATATGAGACAGAAGAGAAGTGAGGGACCTTAAAAAAAGCAATAGACACACAAAATGGCAGTATTGCACAAAACTATAAACATGTAATTAGATATCGGTAACTGCAAATCTTATTAAAAAAACTCTTTTAATATAATGGAGTCAGAAAAAAATTTTATCTTGAGAAATTAAATTACACTTTCCTACCTTCAAAAAGTCATACAGATGTTTAAGGACACCAATACGCACTTCATCCAGATCTTTCAAGAATCCATTGAAAATTGGCACCAGATCAGCAGCTGTTAGCTGATCCCCCAGAATAACTGCTAGTTCATGTATGGAGAAAGCTAGCGTCCGACGTACCTTCCACTGCAAACAGTTTAAGAAGGGAACTAGATTAGGCACCATAACTAAAGAAGCTTTTGAACTACACCTGTGTGAAGACTGAGAGAGAAGAAGAAACAGGGCTAGTTACACAGCAGTAGAAAATGTTAATCTTACTTATGAAGTCTGGTTTAAATCTTGAATTTTCTATTTTTAGTGTACATTTAATCCCTTATAAGAAAGTATACGATGTTATAACTTCAGTGCAACAAACTGAACAAAAAAGCTACTCAAAATTCTGATTTATCATTAAAAAAAACTCCTTTTTTTTTTTTTTTTTACCTGTACATCTGAGGCCAGTGTCTCGTATGTGTCTTTCAGGCAGTGCCAGTTCTGCCTGCCCAGTGTTAAGGCCACCCCAGGAAGACTATATGCACAGTGTTTGGCTATTTCAGTATCAACAGTCTGGGCTCGAGCTGGGTCAGTCATTGACAAGTACTGGTCTAACAAAGGTTGAGGTATGATATCCTATAGATAGAGACAGTACATCAGCAACACACACTTTATTTTAAAATCAGAAAGAAAATATACCTGTTGTGCTACAGTATTCTCTTGCTACTAACCATCTAGCAGCTAAACACAAACAGTGGCAAAATGTCCCTTTTGTGGGCTAGCTTCACGAAGTGTAAATGACCCTTGTATTTATTTGTCCTCTCATTAGGATACAGCAGTGAGCAATGAACAGTAATTATTACTTTATCAACATGTTGCATCAAACCAAACTGAAAATTTCTTCTTTGCTAAAGACAAACAGTAAATCCAGTGAAAAAACAGTATTGTCATTGCCTACCTTGGTTACATAGATTGCCTCTAAGGCGCCAAAACCACAACAGAATTTTTCTAGCTTTCCAATTTAAAATAGGGTTCTCCTCAAACGCCCAGAGCATTTCTTCACATTCTGCAACTGATCAATTGCAAAAGCTATCACTGTATTAAGGATGAGATGAACTGTATCCAGTACTCCACTAAAGCAGTTAGATGCTATTTTAATCACCTGTAATTTTGACTTGTCATCTTCAAATGCTGAATTATTTTCTTGCTCTTTCTTTAAAAATACACTGGTTCCTCTGTGTTGTTCTTCTGAGCCCTGTAAAAGGACATACTAGCTAGTGAAATGAATTAGACTTACTGCTGTTTGGGGTATTTCAAAGCATCACGCTACAGAACAACATAGTTCAGGTACAGAATTACCTTTCACAGATAAAGCCTTGTACAGCAAAGCCTTACTCAGTGTGTTTATACAAGTACAAAAAGAGTTGTACACTAAGACAAACACTATTAAGACTGTAGCAGTGACAAGTGGAACAGTAGTTAGATTTACTTCTTAAAAAAGCAATCTAATTTAACACAATAAACCCAACATTCATACAGATTTTGAATGCTTACATTTACTATACTCTTCAACAGTTTTTCTTCTTGGCATGAACTTAAATTATATTAAAAAACAGATAGCTTAGCAGTTGCTCCAAATCAGCCAATACCATGATAAAAGCTTTACTTATTTTAGAATATACTGCTGGAAACTCCCAAGCCTACCAAATTATGAAGCATACACCTCTCCCCAAATACAAACAAAAAGCTTCAAAGGCATTAAAAGGTTTAAAAGACCAAAACCAGACAAAGTTTGAAAGTTCACACAGTACTTTACATTTTTGTTTGTACAGGTTTTATGTGCAATTTCTGTTCATAGGCAAGGAGAGCTTTTCTTTGTACTTCATGATTAGCTCCAGCAACATTAAATATTGTGCAAACAATTCTTTTTACTACTACCTGTACGTTATAACCAAGAAAGAGTAACCAGTAACTGCATATATGTATCACCATCTGATTCAGCCTCCTGTCTGGAGATAAAAAACTAGTTTTAGATTTGTTACCGGAAAAGGCGAGACTGTACTTGGTACGTTTCATCTGAAAAAAAAAAACCCCTACAAGACTACTGCAAAACCTAACGCTTAGGTAATTTGTGTGCAAACAAAAATAATAGCCCTCAACAGCTTTTTTAATTAAAATAAGTTATGGTGTAGTAACATTCAAAGTCTTTAGATCAGAAGTGGGTCCATTATGCCAGGGACTACATGAACAGACAGTACTTCAGCTGGTAAGAATTCATTTCAGACATGGAGCACAATGCATACTTACTGTGCTTTTCAGTACACCGGTGGTAGACTGGTCACTGATGTTATTCTGGGAGGCACGGGATGAAAGACTGTCTTCCTCCACCTGGTTGCAGCTAGCATTTGAAACAGCTGTTTCATCTGAAATAGTTTTGTTCTGAAGTTCACCACTGCTTTCTTCAGTTTTTTTGGTCTCATAGTCACCAACAGAATCAAACTGAGCAGCTCTGAGAGCGGCAGACAACACTTGGACCTGAGCTGTACAAAGCAAAAGACGACTATTTACTCTCCCTTCTGCACTTAAAAGCATTAAACTTGTAATTAGTTAACCTGAAAAGATAAAAAGAAGCCCAGAGCTTTTTTCTTCCGAGCTGTACAGAAATGGCATATTAGCAAACATTTGCTCTTAGAAAGGAAAGACCCATTACTCTTCCACAAAACCATCACAAATTAAGAGCAATGATTTGGATGTATTAACATTTTCAGCAACAATTTCTACTACTGAAAGATATTTCTAATAATCCCCTGTAACGAGGTATCACAGCATGGTGCTCACCTCCCATTCTTCATACTGTCAAACATTTTAATACAAATTATTTTGTTACATTAATTGATTCAACTGCTTGGAAACGGCATCAGTGTGCATTTAAAACATTTCTGAGGAAAACTTTATCCACAGGAGGGAATTAGTCCAACCATCTCTGAACTGTTTTGCAGAAATAGATAGCAAACAAAAGGTCAGGTTTACCACTTCATCACCAATAAAGTTAGGGCAAACTGTATTTGCGCATTATGCTATATTGCTGCTAGGAACACAAAGTTATGAAGAGTTCAGAATGCAGAAACTATAAGATAGCTACATCTGCACAAGCCTACAGCAAGTACAGTCTTAAGACGAAACACTAGAGCATATTTAAAAAGACTACTACAATACTTTGGAAATAAGGGAAATGGACAACTTAAAAAGGCAGAAGAATGGATTACAAGCATATTTATGAGTGTTTTAACAGTTCAAGCAGGAGGAAAACAGAAAGTAACATCCACATCTCCTTATTCCGAGAAAGAAAGCAAGACTGTTCTGCTGAAGTCATAAGGGGCAGGGGGAGAGGCAGAAATCTTCGCTGTTTTCTCCCATGCCTCTACAAACCCCTCTATTTCTCACTGTATAGCTGTCAAGCTAACATCTCTCCATTTGTCTTAGAACTACGTAATGGGTTTTTTGCTCTCTTCCTTTTACCCTCTGCATTCTCTTTCCAAAACTCATTTACAGTTTTTTCCTCCTTTCATTTCTTCATTTCAATTTCCACTTTTTCCTTTACTGTTTTAAATTTTAATTTTTTCACCTCTTCCCCTTTTAAATCTTTCCCTTTCCTTCTGATCCATTGCCTCACACATGAAGAATTTTTATTTTCCTGGTACCCTTCTGAATGGCCATGGGAAGCCACCTAAATATGCCATGCTGCCAGTTGGCTTACTACTCACTACTACTACAGCAAGAAATCCAAATGATGCTGCAGTTCTCTGCATGCAAAGTCATATCTGCAGAAAAGGATGAATAAATAGGCAGATGAAAACTGTTAATTCACTAGAGTACTCACGAGACTTAGTGGAACAAGAAACTGAGTTGACTATGGATGACAGAATTGTCAAGAGTCATTTGGCCCAGGAAACACATGCATCCCACTAACAGGCTATCACCACTTGGTATGTTCATCAACGGGCTTGTATGGGGAGGCTAAGGAAAGATAACTTGAAATTAGGGCCATTCTCACTCAACCAAACTAGATGAATTCAGCTGATAACAGGTAGCTCTGTCCCTAAAACCACAGTACGAAGTTACAGTACTTAAAATTAAAGACAGTTTTAACAAATTTCAACAAGCTTTTTTCCCTTTTGTAGTTAGATCCAATTTACTTCTCATGCAAACAGGAGCTAGGAACACTTCCCCAACTGTTCTAGAAGTAACTCAGGTCTTGTGAAAAAGGCTGTTGAATAACTTTCTACTATAACTTACTACCCAAGGAAGTCTCATCACCTTATGAACACCAAGCCAATTAAAACATAGTCAAGGTTTTTGTAAAGGCCAGGAGAAAACCAGCTCAGAGAAAACATGATTTTACTGTTACAGAGTCTCACCTTGAACATCTGGATCATCTATGTGCTCCTGTAAGCTTTCTAGAACTTTTTTTATTTCACTACTAGCAACACAGTTATTACACGGCACAGAGCAGCTATCCTTGTGCTTTTCAGTCTTGAACTGAAGTAACTCCAGATCCTGACTTATATCAGGCAGAGGAGGGCGCCAGTAGAGGAAAGTATTAAATATGTCCTCAGCAGACTGTAGCCTTGAGTTCATTCCAGGAAAACTGCTGTCCTTAGTGACCTCTAGCACACCAGCAGCAACTTTGTCGCCCTGAGACAATTGAGAAACATCTTCTCCAGGATTGGTACAACAATCTGAACTTTCTGCTTGTGTATCTTTATTTAGATTCTCAACCAAGAGCTTTGTATTAACTTCAGCTGAAGACTCCTCAGTTGATGGTTCTGGTTTGATTTCCATTGGTTGTTCTGAACTGGTAAGAGACACACACAGTTATCCAAATAAAACTTAAAGTACTCTGTAAAAACACTTTTCAGTTAAATACTTCATAAAAGACAGCATCAACTACAGAAGCTTATTTTCTCTGCAGAAAGACAGAACCTATGTTACCACTATGCTTTACTTCACAGGACATTAAAGGGAAAATTGGTGAAGCCATCAAAGTTAATTTTTCAATAGCGTGGCTACACTCAGACACATGTATGACCTCAACCTTCATACCTTTTCTGGAACTATATTCTCAAGTTGAGCTTTTTAGCCCTGAGCCACTATTAAAAGAATTGTCTTCCTTCTTTCCCCCTCCACTACAACACATTTTTCCCATGATTTTACCTGGACAGCATAGCATTTGTACTAGAGGACATTAAATTTATATTGTTGTTTGGCTGACAGGAGTTGGAATTCACATCTTGTGTTGATGGCCGGATACTCAGTGTCCCATCTTCTCGAATGTAAAGACCAGCACTTGAAGGGTTTGCAAAGGTAGAAATAAACGGGCCAAGAGACTGAAAAGCAGCCTGACGAACCTGTGATAGTATAAAGACAACAGTCAGGATTCATGCAACTCCCACAGAGTTAATGCGGAAAAATAAAGCTTTTGTTCAATTTTTTAGTAAGAACCAAGTGATTCTTACTTAACAGCTTCATTTAATACCAAATATATCCAATTATCAATTACCAAATAAGGGACAGCTAAGCAACTGGTGTTAGAATATTAAGCATTTATCTATAATCATAGTAAGGAAATTTTTAAAAAGTTTTAAATTTGAAGGACATCACTGTCTGCTTCAACTAATACCTTTAACACAAGCAACCTATTGTCAGAAAAGTGTTTACACTTATAAAAAAACTGTGATAGAAATTCTAAGTAGTAAGAGAGGGAGGAAAAATAAGATACTGTCTGATTAGAGGAGATTAGATTTTAGTATATTAGACTCTAATCCCAGCAAATTTAGTTTGGAGAACTTTCACAGCGCACTTCTGACTTGCCCATTATTTGTGTATGATCTGCCTGGGAAGATGTATCAATTACAGAGTGAGTTACTTACCCATCTGCAAGTGTCACTAATAAGACTGATAAACAGCGGAGATAGTTTGCTTCTGCGAACTTCTGGGGATGTGGTGTAAGACACTGCCATAAAGCATTCAGCACAAGCTTTCCTCATTCCCCAAACACTATCAGAACAGAGTTCAAAGAACTTGGGAATCTGCCAAAAAAGAAGCAAAACCAAGACTAATTAAAGACTAAATAGACTGCAGCAACTTACTATCAAGGTATTTGTTTGGAAACTAGAGACAATGATAACTCAAGAGAAAATAAAATGAGTGAAGAATAGAAGAAACAGAGACAGGTTAAAGACACGTTAACTGAAAAAATTGGAAAAACTATCTGTCTGCCATTTACTTCATTAGAATTTTATGTGTAACTATACGCAGTAGGAAAAAAATAGGAAGAATTATTAATGGCCTATTTTTCCTGCAATTGTAACTTGACTGATCATCTAGTTCAGGGATAAAAAGAAAAAGTCAGTAATTCTAAAGTGAGTGTATATGTGTGTGTATATATATAGGCTGTCAATTACATTTTTAAAAATGTTTTGCAAAACAAGAACTTTCCATTCATTCCCAGTTTTGCTATATAATTGCAACCAAAGCCTTAACCAAATCAATTTTAAAAAGTATGCATACTGATTAATTTACAGGGAAAATAAGAAAAGAACTCATTATTAGACCTTCTGAACTGAGCAATACAAGTCTTGTGAATGGATTTTGATTTTTACATACCAGCAGTCTTTCCGTGGCTTCTTGCCCAACTGCATTACAAATGTCACCAAAATTTGCTGCACAAATCTAAGAAATAAAAAAACTCATGAATAACATTCTGGCTCTTTTAAGTGCATTAGTTTTATTATCAACTTCACTATGCATTATTTATCCCATGTAACAACTGCACATGTTTGACTATTCAAATGTCAGCCATGTAACTACATCCTGTAATATTAACTCATCCTGAACAAAGACTCATTAGAGCAAGCTTCCATAAGCCACATGCCTTTGAAAGCAATAGTAATAAAGGTTTCTGCATGAAGAGCATCACCTACTTCAGTATTCACTAAAAGGGACTAATAAGCCTACATGAAAGTTTAAATTACTTTGAACAGCAGCTGTCAAAACCAAAGCAGACTAAAATATGATACTAGGGTCAGGACTTAGGTGTACTGACAGAACTATCTTTGCTATGGCTGAGACTGGCTTAAGTACTTTACTGAAGCAAAGTTTAATCAAGGTCTCAAGTCAGTGCCATTTACAGTACATTACAAATGCTATAATTAAGGCAAAAGGGACATTCCCTCATGTTGGAAAAAGATGTTGACAAAATCTGAAATCAGTTAAGATAGGACTGTGTTAACATAAGATTTATTCATTCTATATGCTTATTTAGAATGCTGTAATGCAGCTCAAATTCCAACAAGTGCAGCTTAAGTTAAGGACCAAGCTCAACCTCTGCATGACGCTTAAGTCTACTCAAATATTTTAAGACTTCTTATGCTACAAGTTTCCTTTTGTATTTGACCATGAATTAAAATAAATCTTACACTTTTCAGATTTCTCCTTTCAATAATACCAGAATTTTTTTTTTTAAAGGAACAATGTCTCAAGTATGCATTGCTTTTGAATTTCTGGTTTTGAAATAAGACGGCAGAGATCAGGTTAACTTGTTTGCATCCTATAACCAAGCAGTGGCTTAGAAAAAGTTTGTGCAAAAGTATTAAACATGCAAGATCAGTTTAACTGCTACACTAAAGCTATTCACTAAGGACTGTTATCTATTTCTTTACTGAACTACAGAAACTATAACCATGTCAATAATCAAAACTGCTCTTCCATACCCTTTCAAAAGTCAATCAGTTAAAGTTATGACTAAATTATTCAGGAAGGCATCTGAACAACAACATGCAAATTCATTTTTAAGTGGTTTAGGGCTGAAAACACACCAACCTTCCGGACTTGAAACAATTTCCCATCGCTGCACAGTTCACAAAAACGAGGAAGTAGCAGGTGCTCAACTGTTGTTCTGCTCAACATAGAAGCCATTTTACAGATTATCTAAAAATCAAGGAGGGGATACATGTAAGGAAAAGAAAATTATAAAGCTTGTAAGCACAGCCAAATATTCCTCCTAAAAATTACTTCCGAGAGCAAGCAAGCAACTACCGTCAAATAGATTTAACTGCTACGCATTATTTGTCTCTTCATACACCTGTTTTATGTGAAGCACAACTATAGTTTTTATTTAAAATCATTCTATGCCACTGTGTCTGAAGATAACATTTCTGCACATAATTCATGTCTTTTTTTATCCAGTTAAATTTCATTAATACATGCATTTTCAAGGTGTTTTACAATGTGGCATACACTGGTATTTTGTACAGAGAAGAAAAAAGTTCCATTGCACTAGCCAGCATACAAAAATCACAATCTTTAAGCATGTTAGAAATATCTCAAGCTTAAGCATGCAATAAGCCCCTTGGCTTACAGAACTGTTCAGATACTTAAATACAAGCACAGTCCCAGCCCTTTATAGGCTCAGACAACATGATAAAATAAAAGTCTGCCATACAACAGAAGAGAAAAGAGAGAATAACACAAACTAGTTGTCTATGTGAGCTAATGTACACTTTACAAGAATCATCCTCACAAATTTTAGGAGTTAACATTGCAGCATAATTAAAGTTAATTAGTAACATGCTCATTAATTTAGCTTTCTCTGAGGTACTGCCAATTTCCACTGCCATTAGGACCCATGTTTCTCCTGTGAAAATCAGGTGCTTCAGATTGTATGTTTCCTTTCAGCTCCCACTTTCTTGCGTAACTTGCTACAATTCTTATATTTGTAAGAGTAAAAAGGAAGGGGCTCCCCTGCACCTTTCTACTCACCTGCTCCACATGCAGCACCAGCAGTTTAATGCTTACACAAGTGTTGTCAGATTAACAGTACTCATCTTGTATTTTAATTTTCCAAAATTATTGAAGCTTTCTACCTCCACAAAAATGAGCTTTATTTGTAGAAACATTTGCCTTTGTAATAGAATGCTAAATAAGACCTAAGGAAGACATCATTGAAGGCCTTTCCTACAAATTTTCAAACTCCTAAAAGGTATCTGGTGCTCAGATGTCACCCTGGAAAACTGCCTAAGCAACACCCAACTCCCAAATAAGGAAGAGGATAATCTATCTGGTAAAACTATTTTACAGGTCAAGTGTCAGATATCCATGCTGAAATGTAATTAGACACCAGCACTCTTCTGTGGAGTCAACTGATTTCTTGAAAGTGAACGGGGAATGTTTTTTTCAAAACACTTTAGAACGAAGGTCAGGTCATCATTCATACTTTTACAACATTACTGTGAAACCTGGTAGAGCAAATGTGAAGAAACTATTGGAGAACATAATCTTAACAAGAATTAAAAAAAGGCTGCCAAGAACCAACTGCACTTTAAAGTTATTTGGCTACCATTTTGACAATCATTTACCGTCCTGAGGTATAAAGATGGTCTCTTGAAACCTGATCTTTTAAAAAATTCAGAAAAAAAATGAAAGATTTTTTGTGTTAAACTAAAAATTCAAGTATGTTAATGAATAACCACAAAAAGTTTGATTGCTTATTTTATTTAATGTCAGTATTCCTGGACCTCATCTTAATTACTGTTATAAATGAAAAGAATTGGTTGTTCTTGTTACTACTCAGTTCAAGTACTCAATACATGATCAATCATCTATAGGAAAAAGCCCCTCATCATCTTAGCAAAAACTTATTACTGAGTTTGAAGACGTGATACTTTACATTTTTAAGCATACAATAACATTCTTATTCCCAATTACTGTGCTGTATAGCTCAATTCTCAAAAGCACTATTTCAAAAACATTCCTCAGGCACTTCATTAATGCAGAAGCCTAGATTTCTTCATTGCACAAAAGGTATAGGACCTAGAGAAAGCTTACCTGAATTACCTCTACACTTAACCAAAGGCATTAATAAATAGTACAACAGTAGTCAGGACAACCTTGCTTTCTTCTCGAATTCAGTTAAGATAATTTTTAGCCTCTCAGTGTGGTGCATCAAGTCCTGACCCTGTTCAAATTCTTTGAAAATTCATATTGTTTCAATGGTGCTCAACACTACAAATGACTAACCTACAGATTCAAGGCTTAACAGCTTAGCACACTTAAGCTTCAACTATATCACAACAGAAGCCTCTCAATTCGCAACAGTGTGACTAACAAATAGAGAAGGAATAAATCAAACTAAAATAGTAATGGTATAGAAAGTTTAAGTTCAACAATTAATGTAAAGCTCTCAGGGCACTGAGAATACAAGTACAATTTTTATTTTCTGGGTTTTATGCTCATGAATCTCTCACACAAAGTTGTTATATTCTAAAAGAGCTTTACAGTAGCACTGCTAAGAGATAAACAAAAGCAATTAAAAACAGAAAAAAAGCAAAGATGTAAGATTTCTTCCAAATTTGCTTACATTCACAGCTTCCACCTTGTACTCATCATCACTGTCAGGAGCAGAGAGGTCCAACAGAATCGGACACACCTTATTTTCAATGTCACTCTGAGCAACAAGATCTTGTTCTAGCAGTATAAGCAGTGCTTCTTGACCTGCCTTTCTAACCTATTGACATGAACAAGACAAAAAAGTACATCACTATAAAAACATTTACTGATATGAGAACCACAAAAGGCATGTTTTCAACGAACAGACAGGTACAAACTAAAAAAACCTTCAGTTTTAACATCATAAGGAATTAGTCATAAATACTAAAGTTTAACATAATCATTAAATGACATTTCATCAAATTCTGAAAAGAAGCAAAAAGATGAAGTAGAAGACAGGACTGTAAGTTATGATTCCCATAACAGACTGTATCAATGTGCTGCTAGGCAAATCCTGTAAGCTTCCCGTTTTCTCCTAAGGAAAGTATAAAAACCAAAATTTATACCTCCCTAGCAAAGTGTGCCGGAACCAATAAACAGAAAGCACTACATAAAAGCTAGGTATCAATCAACTTGAAACTTCCTATTATCTCTTCCTCATGCCTTAAATTCACTAAGTCACACAGAATTTTCCAATGATTCAACTCATGTTGTCTGTTTTTCCTACCTGATTGTTAACATCCGTGAGGTATCTCACTACTATGGGCATAAGGTATTCAAAAAATGCTGTTGGGAATTTTGGTCGACTTTCTTGCAGAAAGATGGCAATAGGAGGTATTTGTTCCATCAGCTCTGTACGTACAGTTGGTTCTAGTAATAAAAAGAAAGTCAAAACTACATCAGTAAATACAAAATTAAGAGCAAGTCCCTTAAGAAAAAAAGTAGCATTTTTTTCAATGTTTTCACAACAGAGGAAGATGAAAATACTCAAAACAAAGAAACATCACCACTGAGACTGCCTATTCTTAAAGGAAAGCTGAATAAAATAGAACAGCCTTACATACATCATCACAGTCCAGAGACTTGGGATCAGTTCCCAAATAAATCAGATAAAATGAGAGCACTAGCTAGAAAACCTAATTACCATGAATGTGTGCACATGAAGTATTAAAATGCACAACTCTTCTGTGCCACATACACCACATGTTCAGATGTAACCAACTCCTTGAAAAAAATTATTATTGGGCGCTATACTAGGTAAGAGCCTTTCATTTATACACCTACCATACAAAATACTTCAAAAACAACAACAAAAATAATCTTGTTTTCACTGACAGATATTGCTGTTAGATTATTTAGGTTCTTTAGCTCACTCATTGCCTTCTCAAAATCAAAAGTTATTGCCTTCTATATTGCAGCTTATGTAAAATAAGTTACAGAAATTAAAAAAACAAACAAACAACTTTCAAACCTGCATCTTCAGAGAGCCTGACCACTATTTCCATTACAGTCAGGAAGTCTTCTTCATTATTACTGAAATCTCGAAAGACATCCAAAAGACCTCTGGCAATAATCTGCCTGTGGAGTGAACAACACATTAATTGCCTTAATATCCTGCCAACAACATATAGATGGGATGCAAGGGGAACTTACCAAATGTAAATGGGCACTTTAAAAAAGATCAGGCTCTTCTATGATACTCTGAACATTCAGACATACCAGTTAGAAGTTTCTCCACATCCCAGCAAAACAAAGATGGAGTCAAGAGATCGTATTCAGATAACCAAGAATGAAAATCTCTTTTTATGCAAGTGTTATACAAAAGTTATTCAAACAGAAATAATATTTGGCACATGCTTTGGAGAATAACAACAGAAGTAGTGACACCTTAACATCCATAACATCAAGTGTAGCTGTTGCACCCTTACCTGTTAAATATGTTATCACTGAAGGCATATTTTTCTAGACGAGCCAGTGGACTTAAGTTATCCTGTCCAGGAATATCCAAGAATGCCGTTATCCTCATGCTATCACAGTCTGGTCCATAATCTTCAAACCCAACTTGAAACACAAGAAGAGTAACCCAACAAAAAAAAGAAATTCCAAGAGTCAGAGATGTTACAGTGTAAAATACACTATACCAATAACTATTTCTTTTTAGAGCTATTCTTCAAAGGCAAAGTATCTGTATATCACTGGAAACTGCTTCCAAAGAAATCTTAGGTTGTACCTAATGAAGTTAAGAGCAACACTTGCATATAGACCTGTAAATTCAAGCTTTGAAATTTCATTAATTTCAACCACCATAAATCCTTGGCTTTAAACACATTTTACTTCACAATTTGAGTGGACTAACCATATGCACTATGAGTTAAGAGGGCTCAGCTGACAAAACTGCATGCCACAAACTGACATGTTCAAAAGGAAAGTAAGCCCCATTAAAAGAAACTGAAATTTTAACAACAGAAAATCCAAAACTGTATTGCTTTAAAACAGCAAATTCTTGGGTTTGTTTCAAAGTTACCAAGGCGCATTTTTCTCACTGTAGTTACTGGCTCCCATACATCTAAGACAGATTGATAGCTTTGGGAGAAACTTCAACTTTACTTTACTTGTGAATGTACTGGGAACTTTCTACTGCAGACCTATCAACTACAGACTTTCCCATATAAGCCTACTCCTCCTAAATCTTTTTTGTATTCACAGCTTCAGACTTTTAACCAAATATTACCACATCAACTGTTAAAATTTGCCTCACCAAGTCTTACAATCACCTAACTCAGTAACATGCACTTTATTACAGATTACAGGCAAAAAGTAAGACTGTGAAGAGGAGCGGGAATAGGGTAACTTTGCTGCCAAATTTTTTTAAAAATTGTTCACCCTTAAAACAAAGACAGTGAAATAACGTGCCTGCAACACAAATCTTTCACACAAATTCTCTCATTTCAGCAATGGATATAGGAACACATACCTAACGGCAACCAAATCTACAGAAAGAGTTGCACTAGAGTAGCTGATATTCCTGCTCTGGATTTACAACCTTCCCAGTGAAGCACTCCTAGAATTATGCACACTTTGTTCACATAAATAATATAGCAACTGTGATCATACTTAAGTACATGCAAATTGTTCCAATACGGCTTCTCTCATGCAAGTAGTCTCTCAAACCAGCATATGTGCTGAGAGTGACAACCACTGAAGACAATAAGCCAGTTTCTGACTTGGCAGGACACAACATTAGGTATCTAAACCAGTAAAGAAAGCACAAAACTGGTTAACAACTTGAAAGCACAATAACAAGCCAAATAGGTTGTATTTGAAACTGTGCCTGTAAGACTATAGTCTAGGCACTCTAGGTTATGCCTCTAGAGACAGAGACCTCCTGTCTTCAGGCAGTGGAACTTAGATGGTGCCTCCATATTAAAAAAACCACAGAACTTTGGCTAAATAACCAAAAGCAAACCAGGACCAATTTCATTTATAGGACCAGTTTCCCCTGTTTGTAAAATGGAAAAAACAGGAACACCCTCTGCCACTAATGCACTTTGCTGATTAAGAAATGTGAATGTAAAGTACTATATAATCCCCGTCTTCAGTATTCTGGTTTAATTAAAAAAAAAATTACAGTCCTTCCCAATATGTCATCCCAATCAGTACAAAGCTTCTGCACATCTTAAAGGAAAGTCTGTATTATTTCATAATGCACTCAAACTGCCAGCGGGTTAAATTATGTGTATATGTAATTCCACAATCTCTGATATAACAATTTCTTCAGGATTGAAGTGGCTGTACCTTATCAGCATAATTAAGCTTCAGCTCTACCCTCACTCTCACTTTACCAGTTTTATATTCCAAACACCCTTCCCTAAAGAGTCCCTTAATCTGAGACCTGGCACAATGAACTTTGGCTCCAAACTACATTAATACCCATTATAAAAATCACTTTTTATATTAAAAAAATCCTCTATTACCAAAAGGTACCAAGCCTCAGCTTTTTTCCTATAGAAAATTCCTATTTCACATAAAAAACTCTGTTTTCCAATTATTTAACACAAGCCAAAATGTTCTCAGAAATACATCTCATTTAAAGAGGAAATCATCTGAACATACTTGGAGCAAGATGTTATACCTGGGTCTTCAGGGGGAAAAAAATAAAAAGCAGACTGGTTTAAGAAAGCACACAGTCTCCAAGGAACGCAGGTGAATTAAAAGACTAAAGCAATTCTGAATTCTGCTGTTCTTGCAGACAATATGCTCTGACCAACAAGTTCAATGGGATTCAAACAGAAGAAAACTGTGGGATTAGAAAAATGTTCATGTTTCAAGTGTATATACAGATACTACAAGTGAACCCACAGCCACATGATCAGAAACATATGCTAATTATTCATGACTTTTTATAATGACTACATATTATATTGACACTCTTATTTCCATTCAACTGGTCACTATTATTTCTAGTGGCTGCTCTTTATATATTTTTAAGTTCTGTCAGGTTCAATACATTTATCTGCACAAGCAGATATAATTTGCATTGCACAGGTCTGTCTGGGATTGATCTGTCCACGTGCTCTCAGGCTAGCTCTCCCACCACGCATAGTATCTGAAGAGGTAGCATCCAGCATTCGCTGCTTCAAAAGAAACCTACTGTATCACTGAAAGTTCACAAGAAGTTACACAGCATACATAGGATCATAGATTTCCTTTCTGAGGTTGCAACAAACTCTCCAGATCCAAACCCAGCTCGGGCCATCCTTGCATCTATGCAATTATAATATATATATTTTAAAATCCACACAGATCAGACACACTTTCACTGGTTTATTTTTGAGGCTAGCCACCTGTTATACAAAGAAAGATTTATTAGGGCTTAAAAAACCAAAACCAATACATTTGCCATTAACTTTATCTAGTGACCACCTGTTCCTGAATTAAGAAATGATTTAAAAATGAAGGCTCTTATTAGTTCACTTCAAATATTTCAGAATTCCTACCAATTCCAATGACAATGAAGTAAATATCAATTCTAAGTTTGACTACAATACTACGCCTGGAACTAATTTTGTAAACATGATGAACATGCTTAATTTTACTACTTGGAGTAGTTCTATTTTTCATTTAAATTTCCTAAGCACACACCAGTGCTTCTAGGACCAGAAGGAAAACAGAGCAAACTACTTATGATCAGGATCAAGAGAGTTCAATACCTGAAATTTTTTCCACACACTCTCAGTACACATAAATAAGGAATAGTCATGGCAGAATCTATTTTGTCTTCTCTCAAAAATTTTAATTTTCTTTTTTCATAAAGTAAGAAGCCATAGGTACTTACAAGTTCAGAATACACCAGAGTACTAGAAAGTAAATTACAGAAAAATAATGAACTAGTATTTCTTAACTTAGCTAATGTTCTTTCATAGGTGAATCAACATTACAGTATTTTTCCCGCTAATGATATCATACAAGCAAGCTTGAAACATGTCCACCTATGAACAAGAATAAATGTGACAGCATTCACAGCTGAACTTGAGTTCACCATACCTTAGTTTGACCTAAGTTCAAAAGCTGCTTAGAGCCTGTAAGAAACACCTACAGGGTCACAGGATTTAACTATGCAAATCAGCACCATTAGCTAGTATCACTATCCACTTTTCCCAATACAAAACCAGTAAATACTCATGCAGAGTGCAATGATTTCACGAGCTCAAGGAGGTCATTTTCTCTCCCGCTCTTTTTAGAAGGGAAAACAATTTTAAAAATATGTTTTCTTTATTGTACAAAGGCCATAATTAAGCTAATATTTTTTCCAGATGATCCAATATCTCACTTTACCAAAAAAGTTTCAAACTGTACTGGCTGAATTTAGGTAGATTTTACTACAGCTTTTCTCCATATTCAGAGGAATCCCACAGACACTGTTTCAGTAAAATTGATCTTCAATATGCATAACACTATTTAAGCAATTTAGTTCAAGTAAAAATCCAGTTTCAGTGATTTGTTTCACTGAGATTTTCCTAACACACATCATGAACTCTTTGCTAGACTAGTCACTCAGTGTCTCAGTCTAGATGGGACATCTGAACTCTGCTGTTAACACAAATAGAATTATGGCATTGAAAGCTGCCTTCTAACTACATTGTCAAGTTAATGAACTTAATCAAAGAATATTTTTAAATCACAAAATAAGATTCCAATAATGCTCTAAAATGCACATTTACTTATTTATGCTCATCCTGAAACTGATAAATTTCTTCTACACAAATTTTAAGTGACCCATATAAAAAGCTTATTAATTACTGCTTATGGCAAAACCTTTTTTTTTTCTTTACCTGAACGTTTTTATTAACTTCATGACTCAAACTAGAGTTTCGCCTACAAGCATCAAACTTCTTAATTGACTTATCAGACAAATCTGTTACAGTCTCAACAGAACAGCCAACGACTGAACAGTAATGGAGAATGAACACTTAAATCCTAGTGATGGTCACCCCCAGTTCAAGGCTGAGACCCATAACAGAACACTACAGGACATTTGCATTTATTTCCACCATTTGCACTTCACTTTACACACTCAGCAAATAGAACTCAAATGACAGGCTAGTTTTGGTTTGTTTGTGGTGGTGGGGTTTTTTCTTACTGCAGAGAGAAGAAAATTGGAAAGGGAACTGCGAGCATTTCAGAAAGACCCAATGAATTAAAATAGCTAAGCATTCATTAGCACTACCAAGGGTTTTGTTTGGTGGTGGGTTTGTTTGCTTGTTTTTTAATTAGGGCAAAGAAAGATATTTTCAGCTCTTACTTAAGGTACTACAGCAACAACTATTGCAGCTCTTCTGCTAGAGGAACTCACTGCAAAAGTCTTTGAATCAGCATAAGCACACTGAAATGTATCAGCTAACGTCCTTCTCACTTAAATCCTGTTCAACACATACATGCTTTTTTTCATTTAAGGTGATGACTTCTTACAAATGTCTTACATTTACTTACTGCAGCAAGCAATAACCTTTAGCACCTCTTTTAAAGCAACTTCTTACAATGTTACCAAAATTTTAAATCCCTATGTATTAAATACATCTATTTCAAGTACTATCCTCCACACTTACTATGTTTTTTTAGATTTCTAGCTTTTCAAATAGATAACTGTATTAAGGAAGGAGGGTGCTTTTTAATTACAGTTTTACATTCATTAAGACTCACAGAGTTACAATTTATCTGTATAAGAGAATGTTAAAAATATTTTCAAATACACAAAAATACAAACATAAAACAAACCTAGAACTCTTACATACACAATTAATCTCTTCATTTATACATCACCTGCATCACAAAAGATCCCAAACTTTTCATTCTAGAACTTAACCAAAATACAAACACCAGTTTTTTTTGTTGTGGTTTTTTTTTGCTACCTAGTAGTAAAATGCAGAAACCTCAAAGACTGAGAGCAACAACACTTAAGAGCAACAACTGACAAAATCCCACAGAACAACCTCCTGCCCGCAGAGGCAATGTTCCTGGGCGTCTTTCCCATTAATGGAATACTTTGGATCTCACTTGTATTCTAACATTTCCCCTGGTGTTCCTGAAAACCACCTTCTTCCTAAATTAGTTTATTCATGCTAGATTGGGGTGGGTAGGAATCCACCTAATACACATTTTCAAGTACTACTAAAACAATAATGGTCTTGTAGTAAACAAATAGAGTCTCTCACAAGAAACAAATTCAAGTATCAGCTTTCATTTTTCTAATGGAAAAGTCAATCCAGCATCCAAAGTGCCAGTGAAACCACCCCACGTATACAGCTGCTTTCTAAAGCAGTACAAGTTAATACAGTTATTAGTCAAAGATTTATCTCCTTAAGTAACAGCTCTTACCAAGCTGTCTGATAGGTGTTCAGCTCCACTCCTGTAACACAGTTCTGGACTATACCAGCTTGAGGTGGAGCTGTTGCCTGGTCTAGGACCTACAACACGGTACTTAACCTAAAGCCACCGGCTTCCGAGTACACACAACGGCGGTTTTTCTTCTATTCCCGCGGCCCAGGTGCGGACGCAGCCACGTCCTACCGAGCGCCTCTGCTGCAGGGGTGCAGGAACAGCAAAACACACGGCGTCCTTAGCAGCCTCGACAGCATTTAAAAGTCTCACCCATTTGAGCTACCGCAGCTAGGAACTCCCTCGGCTACTCCAGGCTAATTTCCACCGACAACAACAGCGGAGCTAATCCCCTGAAGCACCGCCGCCAGGACCCCTCTCCCCTTCCCACAGACTCATCACGGGCCATTGCTGGAGGTGCTGTTTACACCGAATCCAGCAGTTCAGCGGCCATTTGAAACGGCGGGGACGGTCCCTCGGAAGGCCGGTTTCCAGACGCCGCCCCGGGCCTGCCTCCCGCCGAGCGGGTCCTCCTTCCCCGGCGGGACGGCGGCTGCCCCCCCCCCCAAAACCCCCGCTTCAGGAGGCTGCCCCATCCCAGCCAGCACTTAAAGGCTTGTGAAAGGCGCCAGGTGAGGCGAGGGCCCGCAGCCGAGGGAGGGAGCGAGCCCGCTTCCCCTGTCAGCACCGCGCACAAATACGCTCTGAACTCGCCAGCCCTAACGCCCTGTAAGCCTTCACCTACCAGAACAAACAGCCTCAAAATCCTCCCCTCACCCTAACCGGGATAAAAACGCGGAGAGGGAGAGAGAGCGGCAGAAGGACCCCGGGGTGGGGAAGCGGGGGAGGGCCTAAGTAGGGAGCAGAAAAATAAAAAACAGTTACTCACAATCATCTAAGTCATCCTGCAAATCCACAAAATACAAAGGGATCCCTACAAACAAAAACAGAAGAGAGACACCGGGGGGTTGGTTTCGGAGGGCTACAGCGAGGACGGCGGCAGCCCCGGGTGAGCCGCCCCAGCGCCCCGCACCCGCCCGCCAGCCCGCCCGGCGGCCCCACTTACCGGCCATCTTGGAATGGACATGGGCGAGGAGGAGGAGGGGAGCGGGAGGGCAAAGGGAGGAGCCGCCGGTACTTCCTGCTCCCGGGTCAGCCCCCGCGTAGCCGGAACGCGACCGGTTTAATAAACAGCCGCTGCCGGGGGCGGGGGCGAATCGCCCCTCAGCACCCGCCGCTGCCGCCTCCTGAGAGGGAAGAACAGCCGCGGCGGGCGGTGGGGGGGGTGTAGTCAGGTGATGCCGGCGGGCCGCCCAAGATGGCGTCGCGTCCGCGGAGCCTGAGGAGGAAGGTTTACTGGTAACCACGGCGTGGGGGAAGCGGGGGGCTGCCCCCGTAGGCCTCCGGTGTACGTGTGCCTCGGGAAGGGCTATGATCGTTCTGGGCTGCGTCTCAGGCGCTCGTTAAAGGCGTAGCCTGCCTGGCCATGGCTCTGAGGGAGCTGAAAGTTTGCCTTCTGGGGGTAAGTGCTGTGCGGCCGGCTCTCCGCGGGGCCCTGGCGCGGGCCGGGGGCGGCGGGAGGGAGGGAGAGAGTCTGCTGAGGCTCGAAAGGCTCTCTGTGGTGGGGGAGGAGAGCCTCCGCCTGAGCCCTGGAGAGGCTCTGAGTGTGGGGGCCCTCTCCCCGGGCGAAGGGTGGGCCTCACCCCGCCGGAGCTGCCGGCGCGCCCCGGCTGCCCGGCCCCGTCCCCCTGAGGGGACCCGGCGGCCGGAGGGGCCTTCCCCTCCACGGGGGGAGGCGTTATCCAGAGGTAAGTATGGCTCCTTTTTATTTCCCGGTATTTTCCTTTAAAAAAAGAAAAGAGAAGAAGCACAAACACTCACTGTGTGCTTCCCTCTTGCTCACAAGTTGTTTCGGGCTTGGTGTTCACTAAATAAATAAAAGCACCTGAAAGCACACTCGAGGGGGAGGGGCCTGAACTTTCTTTTTTTTAACAGCATATGTAGGTTTTGAAAGTGCCCTAAGTGTTGCAGGTGGTGGAAGAATGAGACATCAAGCAAACAGGACTAGAAGTTTTAAAAAAAAATCGAGGGTGTAAAGCTGTGTGTTGGCTTGGTTTGGTCTGAGGGCTTCACTGGAGAACCTCACGTTGGATAGGTGGAGTTGTCTCCACCTGTAACTCAATCTTGTCGTGTACAGAGTATGACTGTCAGAATTGTTTTCTGGTTCTAAATGGCCACATTGCCCTTCAGAAGGAAAAATCATGTGTTTCTGTGCCCTTCGTGTTATGAAGGCATTCAGGGTAACTCCTAGCCACTGTTTGCATTCACCCGACCTGAAAAACCTTTCACTGTAGAAGAAAAGGAGAATAAGCACCCAGGAAAACTGGTCCTTGAACTCCTGGAGCCAGGAACTGCATCAGTGTTTCTCTTTTTAAGATTTGTTCTGCTTATTGAGACTGCAGTCATCATAAAATACAGAGCTGAGATAATATGCTTTTCTGTGAGAGGAAAACAGCTTGAGAAGATAAACACAAGCTTACATGAAGTACCCAAATTTACTACAATATTCAGAGATTCAAGAAAATGCATGAATGGCGTAAAACTTCATTTCCAATGAAGCAGTTCCTCGGGGTTTTTCCTTTAACATTTTAGTAACTCTGGAGATGTAAAGCAAAAAGATTGTCTTCACCAGTCTTAATTAAATGACCGTTTAAAATGTCCAGCTGCTGTTGAAAACTATTGCTAATAGTTTGAGTTATTTCACTCCTAAATATGCCTTTTATATATCTTCTGTTTTTTTAACTATGGAGTCAGTGGTGCAAATACATATGTGACCCAGAATTTTCATGTTACATTTCCTCTTTTACCATTTATAGCTCTGTAGAGTTGCATTAGAAACATGTGTCAGGTGTGTCACAAAAGAAATTTCAAGTCTTTCATTAAGCAGGGTGGGATGGCATTAGTCAGAGGTTGAAATGCATGTGTCATGCTTGTATAATTTAATGTGCTCCATTGGCTTGTAAAGATGGCATACCATACTCAGTTGCTATGTATTTGACTAAAAGTAGTAGATGGTCTTTCCCTATTCCTGTTCCAATGCAATTTGTGCATAAGTTTGGGAAAAAAAAAGTTTCAATAAGAGTATGATAGTGAGCATGAATGTAGATTTTTGTAGTCCTTCATAAAAACATCGTAACAATTTTGTTTAGAAAACTGTAACTTATCAGAGACCTTTCACTTCTTTACTAAACAAATGATAATACCCGAAGTATTTCAGAATCTTGACTTCTCTGGCATTCTCTACAGGAACGTGTTATTCATGCACAGTGTATTGCAAGATGTGAGGACAAAAGGAATCATCTGTTCAGAGTAACTAACGTCTCTTTCAAATGTTTGTTTTTGGTTTTGTTTTTTTTAGGACACTGGCGTGGGCAAATCAAGTATCGTGTGGAGATTTGTGGAAGATAGCTTTGATCCCAACATCAACCCAACTATAGGGTAAGTAAATAAAGTTAAATGTGACTTATCCAAGAATAAAACCAAATTGTTTGAATATATATTTGTACCTCCTGAATAGATCACTTAAGGATTCTCCATGTGTGGCAGCTAAATGGGGTAATAAACATGACTGCAGCCTTAATTAGCTCGTGAGCTGCCTTAGGAAACATACGAGTGTATTCGGCACTCCTGCAGCTTTCATTTTCATGCATAAGATCTGGACCCATTTTGTACTGTTAACAAAATCCTGCTACGAGTCCTGGGTTATGAATAAATTATGCTATAGTTGCTTCTATTAAAGGAATGACATGCTTTTCTCATGCTCTACTATGAAATTTCAAAGTCTAATTATTATGCAACTACATGGGGGGGGGTTAAGGTTTTTTTTTTTTAATCAAGTACAATAACAAGTCTCCTAGGTTTCTGAAGGTAGTTATACTAAGTCAGTTTGTAGTTCTTTTCATTAATTAGTTCTAATGTTATACATCGGTATGCAATACACACACATAAGTAACTGATGAAATTGTTAATGCGATTGGTCTCACAGGTAAGGATATTTGAAAGTTGAGCCTCAAAGTAGCGATGTTACTGAGCTCAAATCTTCAAATGGATAGAAGGAAGGGTGAGCATCAGGAATTCTTGGAGTGGTTGGATCTTTTTACTTGTTTTGTTGTCTTTTTTGCTTTGCAAGTGTCTTATGGGCTACTTTGCTCAGAAGCAATTCTTTACTTACAGGAGGACATGACTTCACTTGATGCTGAGAAGTAGTGGTGGTGGGCGTCAGTGCAGCTTCCTGTCTCAGGTGTCACACAAGCTGTACTACAGCTTTGACCAAAAAAGATCCTGCTGATAAAGATTAGCTGTGTCTCATCCTGTCCTTCTAAAAAAATGTGGTTCCTATGATATCTCTCTGTTTCCTCCCCATGTCTTTTTTTGAGTGTAAATACTGGTATTGAATTGCAAGATATTCTGTAGGAAGTATGCTTTTGTTTGAATTTCCCTATTAACAAAGGTAGCCTTTGAGATGGATTGCTAAGTAGTTTTCTTAGATCTTCAAGGCCTGAACATTCGTAGTTACTGTCAAATTAGCTACAGTAGAGGTTCTTTTTTGGAGGACGGTGAAACTGATGTGTGGATAGTAGTCATATTGCTGTTTGGTTAAGTAGGGGAGCAGGCTGTGTTAAACATTTTAAGTTCAGGTTGTATAGAAAGTTCAGACCTACTGCCCATAGTGATATCAACTGCAAGCAAAACTCCTTCAGGTGGACACTATTGAAAGATCCAGTTGTTTTTCTTATTACCTGAGGTGTTTGAGAAATTGGTTATCCATCTTCATTCCAAGTCATCCAAATACTTCTAAAACCAGTCTGTTGAAAAGTTGGATAATATGGGTGGTATCTACAGTGGCCCAAATTTAGCCATTGTGTTCATGCATACAGTTCCTGGCGGGGGGGGGGGGGTGTATTAAAGTGCTTACCTAGTAGGTGGCCAGGTATGGTAACACAGACTTAGGTTTTGCAACATGAGAGGTCCCTATTTTGTTGGCTGGGATGCTCTGTTCTGTAGTCAGACTTATGTCGCCACACATCTAGACTAGATGGGTTAAACGTTTGAGTAACCCAGTATGGAATTTGCATTATGTCTCCAATCACATGTGATCTGCAGCCTCCTCAAGTCTGCTTTCAGATTCTAAATTCTAAAATACTGTGCTTGATGGCTTTGGGCCCTGCACATCTGCAAGACTGTCTAAAGTTGCAGAGCAAAGATTGTGATCTGTGATGCTTCTAGCCTGACAAAGTAGAATTTTCTGTAATCTGGAGAAAACTCAGGAGAGGGGTTTGTAGTGTGTGTTTTTTCTTTTTTTCTTTCCTCCCAGGGAAGGGCTGAGACTAGAATGAACTTCATCAAATCTTGTTGTCTTCCTTCCGAAGCCAGTTTCTTTTAATCTGGTAGTTTTCTTGCCCTGTGGGTTGATTGCTTGCTTGCTTGCTTCTCCCTGCAGTGTAGCACCTATCCATTTGAAGGCAGGAACCCAAAGAGATCACATGCACATGTTTACCCAGGGGAACCTCTGTAACAGATACTATGTAGTAACTTAAGGTGCTGTTAGAAGATGCTAGCCATCTGGTAATGAGGCTAATGTGTAGAACGGAATTTGTCTTCATGGGTTTAATGACAGTACTGAGGTTAGTATACTTTCTGGAAGTAACAGACTAAAAAATGTGTCTTTTAGCAGTCTTAAAATCATTCATTGGTCTGAGGACTTCATATTTTGGTAGTTTGCTATAGTAGTATAAATAAATCAAAACTTGCGCACTTGCCCAAATGCAGGGATTGTGTGAAGCCCCAATAAGATACAGTTCCAAAATTTTAAGCAAATTCATTTTGAAACTTTTTCTAGACCTTGTTTTTGTTTCCTAACTGAGACTAGGAGGTGGAAAGAACAAAGTAAGGATTACAGAGGAATTTCGAGCATCTTAGAAAACTAAAGCTGAGAACATTTCTACATTTACTCCTGGGTTTTTGAGTTCATGAGATACAATCTTATGTTTCCTGTCCTCTTTCCATTCCTCTTAGAATTATCTAAGCAACCATACTTCGTCATCATGAATGTTCATCATTCAGGTTCAAATATGGGCACCTGTAGAAACCCTGTCAGA